AAAGGATAAAAAAAAAAGAAAGTTTGTTTTTTTTTTTTTTTTCGTAAATTTTTTGGTTTAATTTTTTTTTTTTTTTTTTTTTTTTTTTTTTTTTTTTTTCCCCCCAAGCAAACTGGACACTTTCAATTCGAAAATACTTTATTAATCCCAAATGGATGCTGTTGTAACTCATTAATTTAGATTCTTCAAAGACTTATTTGAAGCTCCTGATGGCTGTTGGCAGGAAAGATCTCTTCTTGTTTCATGTTTCCAGTATGCTTTTTTCCGAGCTCCCGCGAATGCAGCGTCATTCCTAAGGCGGAGGAGGCGGAGATTCCAGCAGGGACGTAAACTGGACTGGAAGAGCGGATCATTAAAGTCCGGAGAGGAACACCGCGGTTGTTTTGAGATATTATTTTGGTGGACATCTGCTGATCTTGGATCGGCTCTGACGTCATCCCATCCTCGCTTTGCCGCTTATCTGAGCCTCGGCAGTGCCATGAAATCGTAAGGGACGTTTGGGAGCCGCTGTCACTTATGTGGGTTTTGTCTGGAGGGGTCAGGTCGGGAAAGTGCAGAGGCGTCCAAGCAGAAATCTGAGCTGCAGGAGCGGATCGGAGGGACGGATCCCCCCGGAGCCAGAGCGCTGCCTGCCGGGAGGATGATCCGAGGAGACTCCGGCGACGCGGTCGAGATCCGCTGTGGTTTGCACAGATAACCGGAGCGGAGTCAAATGGGAGGTCTGATGGGAAACTAGACACGTCGGCGCGTGTTTTGGTGTGCGAGTGTGTGTGCTTGCGTGTGTATGTGTTGAGAAGAAAGCTAGAAATCTAGAAGCTGACTGGCGGCGCCGTGACACCATGTGGAGCCCGGGAAGAGCCGCTCTGTGCTGGATGCTGCTGGAGACGTTTCTGCGCTCTGCTGGAGGTAAGACTGGAGCCAAAAGTAGGCAGCCAGTCTGTCTGCCCTGTAGAACCAAAACACACTTGCAACCCGCACTATTCAGAACCACGGCTGGGTTCAACTCAGAATTATTTACCTGAAACCCAGAATGCTGATGGGATGAGGAGCGTGGACGCGGGTGATCAATTAGACTTTGAATTAATTTTTTTACTAAGCATGTCCGATTCTTCTGTCCTTCTCAGTAATCGGTCATTATCAATGGGACATTGTTTGCATAACCAGCTTTCCAGCAGATTGAAGTCTGAATTTCTAGACGTTATAACTTTAGTCAGAAGAAAGAAGAAAATGACTTTTCAAGCACGTCTATGTTCTTGGCACTTATTGTGGAGAAAATACACCAAACTTCTGATGAGACAAATGTTGAATCTCTACCGCAGGATGCTGAAGAAGCTCCCATAATTCCCAACATATTTGTTCTAATTAATGTTTCCTGTCGGATGTAGAGGAACTGGAGGAATCGCATAATTCTGTGGAACATGTCAACCTCAACATGGCATGTGGTGCTGCTTGTCGTTAATTAGCTGGTTGATTGGAAAGGTACAGGCGTAATGTGGAGTGGGATCAACACGGAAAATGAGAGTCAAATTTAAAAAAAAGAAAAAGAGTTGTGAAGCTTGTTGTTCCAATAAATGGTCAACTCTAAAACAAAATAAGAGGCACAGAGTTTGTAAGTAAATTAGATGAAGAAAGGATACAGACAAACCATCATAATGAGCTTTATAAATGAAGCCAGGTTAATTTGGCTGAAGAGATGACCGATGTATATTACTGGTCAGTAGTTTGTAACGGTTAGGGAGATGATGCTTAAGCTGCTGCAGGTCCACAGAAATGCTTGGCTGTCCTGGGATTAGCATGTTTAATTTGTTTCATGTGACTTTTCGATAATTGGCTTGAAACATACAGAGGTAGTTTGTTCTCTTGCTTCATGGCTGTAGCTCTCTGCTCAGACATTATTCTGGGTAAGGAAATGTGTAAAGCAGCAAGTCCACATGACAGAGGGGGATCTGCAGCAGCCATTACAGTCTCTCTCTGACTGGCTACAATGCAACGGGAGAAGAAAAACCTGCATAGTATAAGACTGATCACTGATTTAAAAAAAAAAAAAAATCAGTCAGGCATAAATTCATAGACGCAACAGAAATAACTGATGTTGGGTTCAGTGATGATGATTTATTTATAAATCATTTTTCATACTACAAGCAAAGTGCTGCTTGAGCTCATGAGCAGCTAAGCACCAGGCAGGGATAATCCTAGTTTAGACTGTCAGAAAACCCTCATGATTAATATCTCCCCTACAAAATAAAAAACAAAAACAAAAGATGCAACGAACATCCTCCTGGTGGATCCATATTTTTGCAATAAAACTGATTTAAAAACCCCATAACAGTGAGCATATATGTCTCTGTTCTGAATGTATCTGGTAGGAATCCAGCTGCTGATCTTCTCTCCTCAGGTCTCAACATCTGTATGAGCGGCAGCGCCACGTCCTGTGAAGAATGCCTCCTGATCCACCCCAGCTGCGCCTGGTGCGCACAAGAGGTGAGTGACTGTCATCATGTAGACACCTGCTAGGTAATCTGCAGCACCAAGGCGCCTGCATTATGCAGGTTTTCTGCTTCAATAAGCATCTTTTGTTCATGTATTGGCAAAAAATATGTTGACTAATCAGCAAATATCTTAAACTGTTACCACGAGACGCTGTTCTGCTGTTTACGTGAAACATTTTGTAACTAGTTGAGACATTTTTCCTGGTCACAGAGAACACAAAGTCGAGGTTAAACATAAAGTGTAGCTTGTGTAGATACGCAAAATGAAAGCTTTATCTAGAAAACATTGTGCCACAGATATGTGCTGTGTTTTCTTTAGATATGCAAAGGCTAGCAGTGGTTATCTAAAACCAAAACCCTGAAGCACACAGCGTGCTTTAGGATTTAATCAAACAGAATGGAAGTGCTAGTCACTTCAGTGTCGATATAATCCAAAGTGCCTCCTAAGCAAATCAATAAACCAAAATAAAAAGGACCAGAGCACCTTTTTTTACCCCCTTTTATCATTTTTTTTTTTTTTTTTTTTTGGATGAACCAGATTATTACAGGAGGCCACAACTATAGTCAGCAAATATTTAATACAAATTTAATGGAAAACCAAAAATCCCCTCGTTAATCTTGTCTGAGTTTCTTGCCATAAAAATTGAAAACAAGTTTTGTTTTGATGTACAGAATAAAGGTTTTATGAAGCTGTGTTAGGAAGAAGTTTCTGTTCAGTCTTGAATTGTGTAGTCTGGTTAGATCGGTGCACATATTTTGGATTTTGAACTTGAGATTAATGGATGCAATCTAAAGACTGTGTAAAAACAGTAGCAGAGACAAAGCCCTTCAGTTTGGGTAGCAGAGGATCAGAAGCGGACTTCCGTGTTGTGAGCCAACCATGAGGCTGGGTAACGTTTCTCATGGCAACCGTTTGCTTTCTCTGGTTTTTGAAACTCTTCTGCAAAAATGCTGCCATACAAACAAATCAGTTTTTACATAACAAGTGTTGTCAGCCACACTGAAAACAAGCCAATATTATTCCACATGGTCAACACGCATTGCACTTTTTCTTCCTTCAAAATAAGAGTCTCAAACATTGATACAGTAGAGTGTTGAGGTTAACTCTCTTTCCTGAAATAACCTAATTAATATTTCGACTATCTGAGTCATGATTTGTCATTTAGAAAAGCTGATGGTTGAGCTGCTCTGACCACCAGCGTGAGCTTTGCTGCGTCTGGTCTTGCAGGACTTCGGGAAGCGCCGCTCGCTGACGTCGCGATGTGACCTCAAGCAAAACTTGCAGAAGCGGGGCTGCGAGCCGCGCTTCATCGAGTACCCCAGGAGTACGATCTCCATCCTGCAGAACTCGCCGCTGAGCACTAAAGGATCGGGACCGGCCCAGTACGACGTGGTGCAGATCATGCCCCAGAGAATCTCCCTCAGCCTGCGGCCAGGTAAGAACCGGCTGAATGCCAGGAAGCTGCGAGGCGTCCGTCCGTCTGTGGGTAATCACCAGCTGGCTCCGCCTCTGCAGGAGACCAGACGGCATTCAGCTTGCAGGTGCGGCAGGTGGAGGATTACCCGGTGGACCTCTACTACCTGATGGACCTCTCGCTGTCCATGAAAGACGACCTGGACACCATCCGTAACCTGGGCACCAAGCTGGCGGAGGAGATGGGGAAGCTGACCAGCAACTTCCGTCTGGGCTTCGGCTCCTTCGTGGATAAAAACATGTCGCCCTTCTCCTACACGGCCCCCAAGTACCAGGAGAACCCCTGCAACGGGTAGGAAGCACGACCACACTCAGGATTAGGGCTGGACAATAAGTCAAGAGCTATGTTTATATCAGTAAGTGATACGTCTGATTGAATTTCCAATGATCTCACTCGACGCCGATCTAGAACCACACAGCATTCTGGTGGATGTAGGCAGAGAAAAGACTTTAGCCATTCTCACAGTGAGCAACTCACTCTTTGGTTACCTAGCAACAACCTGTTGAGTAACTTGCGCACCAGCACTTTCATGTTTTCCCACCGTGGGAAAACTTAATAAAGGTCAAAGGTCATGTCACCAGTTTGGCAGAATTTCAGATATTTAAAACAAGAAAAAACTAATCAATAGTTATCAGTACTGATATTATCAATATTGTGATTTTTCAGCCATATCATCAGGCCCTACTCACACTTTACTTGTGTTGGCCTAAAACTCAGCAGTTTGGTTTTATTTTGGCGAGTCTGCAGCAGACTGAAGTATCGGTCACACCTGTTTAATATGATTCATGTATAATAATGTGCTGCAGCTGCTAGAATGAGGCAGAATGAAGGAGAACGCTCTGCATGAGCTGCTGATGCAAACTCGGTAAAGAAAGGAGAGCAGATAGGTGGGGGGGGGCACACAGTGTTTACCCCTGAGGTGAGACCTCCATCACGCATCACTTGCCATCTAGGTTACATCCCGGCTCAGTTGAGTGTGTTGTGTGTTTGTGTGTGTGTGAATGACATTGTGCTGACCCCAGCTGCCTCCTGTCATTGCTGTGTGAGTGATACTTTTTTTTTTGCATTTTGATCAGCTCAGGCCTCAGCACATCACTAATATGTAACATAACTGGTGGGTTCAGGCACGGTCAGGAAAAAACAGAAGCCTTGTGACTTTATACTTTACATTTAAAATATAATGCAGCAGCAAATAACACATGTTTTTCAATTTGGCATTGTCATATTTAGCTTAGAGTAATAGTAGGAAAGGCCCTTCAGTTACTGCATCAGAAATATAGCAGTAAGTTATTTTTCTCTGCTTGTAAAATTTCTACAACTAAACAATTGGATCGGTGCAACTCTTACCTTTTGATACCTTTTATTAACTGATTTGGATAATAATCAGGTATATTATTATTTTGTTCTGAAGCCAAAAGCTTTGGGACTTAAAAGATAATATGTACTGCTTAGCGTGCTTTTATTGTTTAATTCCAGAGGCTGACGTTCTGTCCGCGTCTCCCTGTACAGATACAAGCTCTTCCCAAACTGCGTGCCCACCTTCGGTTTTCGCCACATCCTCTCTCTGACGGACAAAGTGGACCGTTTCAACGAGGAGGTGCAGAAGCAGATGGTGTCCCGGAACAGAGACGCTCCAGAGGGCGGCTTCGACGCCATCCTGCAGGCCGCCGTGTGCAAGGTGACGTCGCGCCACCTACCTTAATCTTACTTGAAATGCTCCCAGTGACGGTGCAAAGTTGTGTCGGACATGCAAAGTGCCACGGTTACAGGCAGGAAGCTGAATGTGGTGCAGCTGCTGGATCAGGAGGACGAGGCGCTCGCAGGCCCAGTCACATCCCGCCTTCCACCCCCACTTTAATTGTTTTCTAAGGGAAGAGAATGACTTGCCTTGTAATTACCTGGAGCTGCTGTCTTTCAAATAGTTGCTGCTTGAAGGTGGTAATCAATCTGAAGGTCCGATTTAGTCTCAGCACGGCTTCTAGGTGCAGATTGTTTTGCAGGAATACAGAGAAATTCCTCCAAATGGGGCAGGGGAATTTAAAACTTTAAGACTTCAAACGTAGTCGCTGTCACTTCCCTGCAAAAACAGAAATAAAACATAAATGTTCTGCAGTCCTCAGCATATTTATATGTTGAGGTTTTTTTTTGGCTTTTTTTTGTTTGTTTTTTATTTATGTTTGTCAGCATTTCTTTATGTTGCTCTGGGCTGTGGAGTGTAAGCGCTGACATTAGCATTGGGGACGTTTGTGCTGCTGCTACGTGTTTAGCATTGACATGCTTGAATAGCATTGCTGATATGCTAACTCCTTTTAGCACAACTTGAACACAACAATAGTTTTCCAGCATCCCATCAGATTTGATTTTTTCAATCAGAAATGAACCTCCAGTGAGCCGGCAGAATCTGTTTGCGGATGTCAGTTGTGCGTCAGACTCACAGGCGTACCAGATACGGGAATATAAAGGTTCCATGCGGAACCTTTGTGTGCAGAAAAAAAAAACAATTACTCTAAAAATATAATTTTAAGCAGTTCTACCATAAAAACTGATCATGTAGAAGTTTGCAATATAAATGCGCTCAGTGGTTGATGTTGCTGGTATTTTATTTTAAAACAAAGTCAAAAAGATTATTTTCACAGGTTTTTTTTTAAATCTAACTGCTGAAGACTATTTTCACTCTGTAACAACTTCTACAAACAAGAGTGTGTGTTAGCAGCCGACCTGCTTTGGCATATATATGGTGTGTTCAGTGACTTGAAAAAGATAGTTTTATTTTAGTTTCCATGTAGCCGGTCGCCACACATCCACTTTCCAGCATATGTGCTACATTTAACCCTCATCTGCTTTGATTCCTCAGTGAGGCTTCGACTCCCTCAGGTTTGCTTCTTTATTTGCCAAACATTAGATTAAATTTAAATGTTTCTACTTCTGCAGCATTGTCGAGAAATACAAACGGCTGTGTTGGGATGTGTCACAGGATTAAAAATGTTTAACGTGTTTGGGTCGAACAATATTTTGATTCATAAAGTGCTGCTGTCATGTTCTGCGTATGAACAGAAATAATTACATATGTGGGAATAGTAGATGAGCCGCTTTGCTTTGACACAAACAGTGTTTGATGCACAGAGCAGAGTTTCTTCCCACAACAGTGTGTGTGTTGTTGGTGTTCAGAGGGTTCTGATCGGGCCGCCCACCGCTCTGAGAACTTTACATAGAGAACAAAAGAGCTACAAAAGGCTTCTCTCTGCTGATTGGGTGAAACGCTGTTTCTTTAGCACCATGATGCATTAGTCAGCAGTCTGTGAGCCCTGCCTGTTGTTTCCTGGTGATAATAGCCTGAACTGAGTCTTTTGTAGAAAGGTGTGTGTGTGTGTGTGTGTGTGTGCGGACTAGTGGTTCTCACGCTTTCTAGAAAGAGGGAAGGGGTGACTGTCAGTGACCTTTCGGTAAACAAAACTAAACCAGAGAATAAAATCCTAATCCTGAGTTGTTGTTTTTTTTTTTTTATATATGTTCAGGCTTTGCTAACCTTTACTGATCAGCAATTCCTGTAGAAGTTCCAGTGACTGTAACAGTTCGTCCTGCTTGACACCGGCAGGAGGAGATCGGCTGGAGGAAGGAGGCCTACCACCTGCTGGTGTTTGCCACGGACGACGTGCCGCACCTGGCTCTGGACGGCCGGCTGGGGGGGCTGGTCCAGCCTCACGACGGCCGCTGCCACCTCAACGACCACAATGAGTACAGCGCCTCCACCAAGATGGTGAGACAAACAAAAAGCCCCAGAACACCTCAGTGACCAAGAGAAACTTAAACACCATCTGAAATGTCTAAAACCAGAAGTTGATGACTTTATAATCCTTCTGGTGGACTCCCAGTTTACCTGGGGTTAGGGGCCACAGTTACACACAAGCAGCTAAAATCTGCAAATACATGAGATTTCCTCTGAAAATACTTATTGCTGTCTATTTTAACGGTGAATCATCCTAGTTACTGAGGAGAAGGCGGTTGATCTCGTTCTCTTGCTTTGTGAAGACATTTTGCCTCTCACTCAGAACGCTTCTTCAGTTCCAAATATGTATGGGACTTGCAAGCTTGCTATCGTCATAGCGACCACGCTAACAGGGCCATTGAAGTCACTCATGATCTATTCAGATCAACATTTGGCTCCTTGTTGCTTGACGATCCAAACATGTCCCTGATGACGCCGTGTGAGTGGCTCTGATTCCGCCCTGCTGAACCGCCGCCGATGGAGACGAGCCAAGACTGCTGGGTAGGCGTTGGAATGATGAAATCTACCTCTGTTTAACGTTGGTTGGCCGGAGAGGTCAACCACTGAGTCACTTTCACATGGAATTGACCAAATGTTCTGTAAGCTTTTCACCACTTCTTCAAAGAAGAAACTTCCCTCGTTTCATTTTTTAAAAAAAGTCCAGGTGTCCCCCATGAGACATTAACCAAACAACAACGCAACTTCCTCAGATTTCAGCAGAAAGTCTCCTGCTGTCTGGAATCATCAAACCCTACCAAGAAAGGTGATGAGTCTGCCTCCGTCATGCTCTCCGTGACCCGTCTGCTGTTTGTCCTCTAATGTTCTCTAACAAACACCTGAAGGCAGAAACGGGACAGCTGGATTCATACTGAGGTTGAACTCCACACAGACGGACTCCGTTTCCCAGCTGGGTGACTTCTGTTCTGGCCGCAGCGTTTTGCTCCTGATCTGTTGGATTCTGCCTGTAAATCAGATCAGAGACACCAGAGCGTCCAGAGATAATGAACACATCACAGTGCGAGACGTAGGAGGGTGGAGCGGCGACAACATCTCCACATTGACGTTTATCCTGAGGTCAAAAGTTCACTGCGAGCTTCAGAGCGTTGTCTGATCTGAACTGTAATTCATTGGCAGCACATGTGGACCCAATACCCACAATGCCTCATGATTCTCCTTCTCTGCAGGACTATCCATCTCTGGCTCTGCTGGGAGAGAAGCTGGCTGAAAATAACATCTTCCTCATCTTCGCCGTGACCAAACGGCTCTACGTTATTTATAAGGTATGCTTCATCTCCCTGTAGGCGTCCACCAGCGTCTTTGTTCGCAGCGTTTTGACGCTTCTCTGATCTGGTTCTATTGATTTCATGTTTTCAGAATTTCACAGCTCTCATACCTGGAACCACAGTGGAGATCCTGGATCAGGACTCGAAGAACGTCATCCAGCTGATCATTACCGCCTATAACGTGAGTGGAGCGAGCCCAGCTTCCTGTTTGTGTTTGTGTGGGTCTGCTCAGGACGCAGCCATCTGATAAGAGGAGGGGGAGGACGGCAGAAGCAGATCCTTCCTCATGAACCTCACTGTTCTGTTAACAGAGCCTGCAGACGACTCAACTACATGTTCCAAACGGGCAAAGAATGTTCTAGAAAAGTCAGACATTTATTTTCAGACAGCATGAATCTAATAAGATCTGTCTCACCAGCTGTTAAACCCCTCAGTATTCACCTGTCTGCTTCAAAGACATATAAACCTGATTGACATTCCATTCTTCAACAGATATGATGTTGGCTGCAGCTGTCAGATTGATTATTTTTTATTTTTTTTAGACTTGTGAAGACACTGTCGCAGTAATCAATGCAGCTAAAGATAAATGCGTGGATGAGTTTCTCCAGATCGTTGTGGAACATCAGTCCTCTAATCCTGGAGATGTTCTTCAGGTGATAGAAGGCCGACTTTGTAACTGTCTTTATGTGGCACTGAATGTTCAGGTCAGAGTCCATCACTACTCCCAGACTTCGGACCTGATCTCTAGTTTCTTGCTGTGATAACTGAAGCTGTTATCAGATCAGCTGACTCTAGATCATCCTTTTGACTTGGTTTTAGAATACCATCAACACTGAATTGACTGTATTGTTTGTTTCTGTTCAGCAGTAAGAGCTGTTTGAATGCAGGTGCTTTTTTGGTCGTTGAATTAACAAAATATTACTTTAGCATCACTTGATCATTTTGTAGCAGGTGATGGAGCTAAAAACACCAACGTGAAAAAAAAAATCAGTCCTTTCTGCTGGACTCGACCTCATACAGACCAGGGATGATCTGCTGATTATTTCATTGATTACCCGATTAATAATTGCAGAGCAAATGGTGCCTACTAAAAGATTTGGGTGATTTTTTTCTTTTGTTTTTTTATGCATAATATTTTTAACTAGATTTTTTCATCTGAAATGCATATTTATTGTCCAGTTTTGGCTTACCTACCGCTGTGAGTGGGTGTTCTAAATTAGTTGACGATTATTTCAATAATCATTCATCACAATTAACTTTTTGAGCCCTAACCTGGATCTTGGTGTCATGAAGGTAGCGATGAGGTCTCAGCTGCAGGTCGGTTCCTCTGGCATGTGATCGGCCGAGTTGGTGATGAAATGAAGCGCTACGGCTCACGGGAGGAGCTGTAGGAACCCACGTGTCAGCAGGACACACACATACTGAAGCAGCGTCAGTGTGTGTGCGTGTCCTGTTGGACTCTGTATTAAATACCCCACTACCTCCAGTGTTTTTCTCTGAGAGTGCAGCATGTTCCTCTTCTTCCTGTCTGGGCTCTAAATTGAAGCCAGACTCTCATCTGATTGGGTCTTTATGAAACGCGTTTTCACGAAGCGGTGCGTGTGTGCAGCTTCGCCTCATGTTTTCCTGCGTGGGCGTGCAAAAAGTTCTCCTCAGCCGGGCACAAGCCGCCTTTAGTTTTGACCTCTGATGTGTGTCAGAAGCGGGTTCGGTGATCTTTGACACACGGCGGCATTAACATTCCAGCTGCCACGTTGTATCAAGCAGCCTGGGGTCAGCGGCTGCAGGCGGCGCTCCCTCGGCGCGACGGCGTCCAGGGTCAGAGCAGGGTCTCCACGTCTCCTCCATGTGCGTGGGAATGCCTCTCATTTGTTCTGGGCACAGTTCAGCTGCAGCTGCATGCGGCTGTTTGCAGCACTCCACTTGCAGCCTGCATCCACGTGCAACGCTCATAGTTGTGGTCAAATTGAGTGTAAAAAAAACACATTCCTCATGTTTCTATTCCACTCTATTATTCACCCAGAGACACGCAGGCATGAAGCAGCAGGATGGGAGCCATGTTGTCAATGTTCCTCCACTTCCAGAACAGCTGCTCAAAGTCCTCTCCTGCTTTAGAAATCATCTTGGACAAATAAAAAACAACAAAAAAAAACCAAATCACAACATGTCAGTCCGCATCGATGATTATTGATTAGTTTTTTGTATTGAATATCTGAATTACTGCCAAACTTCCGCCTTTTCTGTTTTCTCCTAAATTTTCTCTCAAACTCATTTCTCACTTCACTGCACACTGCCTTTTTTTTTTTTTTGAAGCACGTTTGAGGCTGTGCAAGTTGCTCAATAGGTTGTTGCTAGATTACCAAAGAGTGAGTTAGTTGACGCCACCCACCTTGCCTGGCTCACTGTGAGCTGGTTGAGCCGTTCCTCTGCCTACATCTCCCAGAATGCTGTGTGGTTCTGGATCAGAGTTCAGTGAAATTATTGAATTCTGTCGGATGTATTATCTATTGATATTGATTACGTGTCTATCACAATATATTTTATTGATTTATTGCCCAGCCGTTAATCATCTATTTCTAACCTTTTTGTACCTGCAGAACATTCGGTCCAAAGTGGAGCTAACTGTGTCGGACCACCCCGAGGACATCAACCTGTCCTTCACTGCCACCTGCCAAGATGGGAAGCCGCTGCCAGGTTTCAGGAAGTGTGCAGACTTAAAGATTGGAGAAACGGTGAGTCCTTCTCCAAATTTCCCACTCGCACTCTAAATGTTTTATTACGCAGTGAGCCACAGAGAAACCTCTCAGAGATCTTCCAGCCTGGCAGTGCTTTCTGCTTTGGGGTTATGAAAACTTTATCACTGGCTTCCTCTGGTCACCATTAAGACCTAAACCACTCACACTGCAGCACAGTCCAAGAGTAATCTCCAGTTTCACGACCTGTATCTGATGAATGCTGCTGCATTTCTATTTTTAATTAAACATTGCATGCAGATTATAGCTTATTGTTTCCCAAATTACAGCTTTTGACTAGCAGATGACAGCTAACTGGCTGGCAGGCTACTGATTTGAGTGCATGACAGTATGGTGTGGTTACAGCTGATTGGTGGCTGATGGTCTAATTTTTACTTTTACTTGAATGACACAATAAAGCTTTGAGGTGTAAAATTTCATTTGCAAATATTCTTTACAGTTTCTGTGTATTTAAAGAGACCACTTCCCTCTGATTCAGCTGGTTGTGCTGCTCCCAGACCTCTTTTACACTACCTGTTTCTACTAAACAGGGGTTACCAATCATATTATGCTACTAACCATGCTATGCTGGTAGGTTACTGTATTATGCTAGCAATTTGCTAACCTTGCTAGCAGGTTAATTACCACACTGTACTAGGAGGTTACTAACAGCACTATGCTAGCAGGGTACAAACCGTGCTAGCAGGTTACTAACTATGCTAGCAGGTCGCTAACTGCACTACGAGGCTATTTTGTACTAGCAGGTTAATAACTGTGCTGTGCTACCAGGTTATTATCCATGCTGTGCTACCAGTTTACTAAAAATGCTAGCAGGTTGCTAACCACACTGGGAGATTATTTTGCACTAGCATGTTACTACCCTCGCAGTGCTATTAGGTTATTAACCGCACTAGCAGGTTATTTCACACTAACAAGTTCCTAAACACAATATGCTAGCCAGTTACTAACAGCGCTATGCTAGTGGGTTACTAACTGTGCTAATAGGTTACTGCATGCAGGATTCACCCATCAGTTTCCAAACACCTGTTCTCAGCCAGGCTGATCCAACTGGATAGCATTCTGCTATGCCTTCCTGCTAACAATAACCTGAGCAAGCAGGTTATCTGATCAAACCTGTTAGATCTTCTAGTCCTTTCCTGCTACACCAGGGCAGGAAGACAAGGCTTTATGTTACTAAATGTAACAAAATTTAACAGGAGAAGTGTGAAATAAGTTATCACAGTGAAAAAGGCTGATTAATTACATTAGTTTTTTTTTGCACTTTGTTATAAAGATACAGATCACTGATGTTTAGCTTGTTAAAACAAAACAAAAAAAAGGAAAGGAATTGCCTGAATCAAGCCAGTCAGAAGACCTTGAGTGCTGTTCTCACTGCTCACAGAAACTTTGTCATCCACTAGAAATCTTTCTGAATGTTTTGGCTACATTGTTATCTTTTCTTCACCCTTCAAACTCGTACATCTGTTACTAAGCTAGCATTTCTAGATCTCTTGTATTTGCCTGTTGGAACATGCTCACTTTAACCACCTTTGTGGTTCTGATTTCTGTCTGAACCTTTCTTTAAACACGACAAATGCCTTTCTGCATTCTTGGTAACAAACAACCTGCCACGCCTACCTGTTGAATGTTCCAGGAAAAACAAAAAGTATTTAATCTGCATTCAGGCTCTTGTCAAATGACTAAGTGTTGCCGTTTGTCAGCTCGGGCTCTATCTTGCAGTCATGGTATTACCAGAAACTGTTAAAAACTCTGCCTTTTCAGCTCGAAGTGTTTTTTTTTTTTTTTTAAACTGACAAGAAGTCACCAAAATTAGCTGAAACTGATCAGTTTTCACCAGTTTTTGCTCCTGCGGCACATTTTCAAACCTAATGCCTGGTCCGGTTCCAAGTAGTTAAGTTGTCAGTTCTTTTTCTTTCAGTCGATGGAGGGGATGTCCTTCCGCTGTGGTAGTTATTTGATTCAGCTCCTGTTCTGTTTGCTGTAGCCATGCGGACTGTTGGCATAAATGTCATTTCTACCTGTGCTGAAGCCCCCATATTTAAACCTGTTGCTCTTGGTGTGAAACCATCATACACATGAGCTTGTAGATGTTGAGATCTTTGCTCATAACGGAGACAAAGCACGTCTCTTTGACTGTGTGGAACCTCTTTGTCATTCCTCCAAACCAGTTCACGGTACTGTTTATTTTACACCAAGGTTTTGGTGAAGGCCACACAATAAATCACATCACAATTTCCATTGTAATATTATGTTCACAAACAATATCATAGACCTGCTTTCGTCCTGTATTTGGTGGACTGTTCAGACTGAACTGTAATGCATTTACATTCTGCAGGACAATAATAGTCTCAGTCTGTTGGAGGCCCAATTGCTGAGATGCTAAGATGGAGTTTAGTAAGGAAATCATGTTGACGGGGAAAAGAGGGTGAAACGTATCTGTTAATTGCTATCAGTTGTTTGATTAAAATGATATGCATATGCAAATTGCATGCATGCATAAGGTTATGTTTAAGAGCTCATTAGGTTTCAACTGCAATAAAATACCAACTTAATACTTAGCATGGTGATTATGCCTCACTTATAACTGATGTCCTAAGTGCTGCAGTATTTATTCTTGATTAATAGTGACAGTTTGTCACTGTCAGGATGTCGGCTAAGTCAGAGTCTCTGATACAGGCGCGCCACCAGGGATGATTTATATCCCTGCTAGCACCCAGAACCACAGGGAATAATTGTCCAAACATGCAATGGCTCAATGACTCAACAAAAAAAATTGATGAACAAAAGTTGACAAGAAAAACAAATCGGAGCTAACCGAACCGATCTGCCCCAACATGCTGCCGCTGTGAGCAGCTCATTCCTGCAGAATTGAACCAAATATAAATGTATTAATGAAAATATGTTTCTGTTGGCATTTCTTTGATTCGGTGGACTCAGGAATCAGAGTCCTGAGTCTCTGGTTCTGGTTCTGGTTTAACCAGAACCAGAACATGGGGAAGCGGCATTCAGTTCAGTACTAATCTAATCTGGAACGAGCTTCCAGAAACGCCCAAACACCCGAGTTCCTTTAAATCTAGACTAAGCTGCTTCTGATTCATAACTGAGACATTGATCAATATATTTGCTTGGTGATTTTGATTATGGATTTTGATCGAATGTAATGTTTTGCTTATTTCATGATTTGTGACTGAATTATGTTTTATGGTGTAAAGCACTGAGAAGTGCCTCGTAGTTTAAATGTGTTATACAAACTAACTTGACTTGACTTGAGTCTGCAGACAGGAGTTACGATATATCTAATGAACATCTAATGAAATGTTTCACTGGCTGTCGGAGGAGATTGATGTGCATCTGAAAGGCTTTCATGGTCACTTTTTATTCCGTTTGAGGCTGGGATGAGATTTGAATCTGTTGTTGATGCTGAGAGGAGGGCCAGGCTCTAACATGCAGCCTCACAGTGAGGAATCCTCCTCTCTGTCCCTCCACTAGGATGCTTTATTTCGCTGGGCTGCTTTGGGATGGGAAAAGCTGGTGAATGAGCCCGGACGATTCAGCCTGGATGAATGGAGAGGGGCTCTCGGGTGACGTCTTTTATCCTGCTGGAGGCCAGTGTTCTCCCTGTTTTCTGAGGAAACGGGGGGCCGCCGCCTGCTGCTGCATTTCAATGGTGACCCATAGAAGCGGGCCGGACCGGGCCTGACCTGTGAGACCGCCCGGCATGAAGGGAATCAGAATGCTGGCCGGGCCGCTTCGCCCTGGCATCAGAAGTAATAAACGGCTGCTTTTATTTCAATGCAGATGCTTTTTAGTCTAAGCAAATCTGCATCATTTGAGTTTAGTTGCGTGTTGCTTTGTTTGACCCAATTCTCTCGTTTTATAGCAGTTAATTGAATTTAGGGTAGTCATAAGGATTCCATCATTCGGTAAGATGTGTCCATGGTAACCCTCCACCCCCTTCCCCACACACACTCCCATCCCAACCCCTCTTCTTATATCACGAGTTTCTTTAACCCAACCACTTCCTGTTACTACTTCCACCTCCAGTCTCTCTTTCATTAAACCTCAGAGTAACTTGGATTTCATTCTGGTTCTTTCTATGGATCAAATCATTAAAACAAAACACACAGATGTTCTCGCTAAAGTCTCTCACTGCTGTGCCTAACCGTCTTCTTTCTTGCCCCCATCAGCGTGTCGCATCCTCTCAGTTCTCTCAATGAGCCATATGATTGTGTGGACCATTCTCCTCCTGACTCACATTTACAGTAAATTTAATTGTGAGCCTCGTTAGCTTGTTAAGCTTCCCGCGTTGGGGCAGAGGGGGTTTCTGTGTGGCATGTGACCAAGCCTCTTCCTGTCCTGATTCAGCTCCGATGGTTTGCTGCACCCCCTCCCTCCGGAAACTGCCCTGAAATCCGCCTGGGCATTTAGATCCTGACATCAGAAAAGATAACGGAGCAATCAGTTACCTGGCTGTGTATAAATAAATAAGAGATTAGCCTAGAATCTGAGCGTTTTCATGGAAATGGCCGTCTTTGCTTAAAAGCTTCTGAGCAAAACTGGATTATTGAGAATTTTCTTAGTATGACAATTAATATTGAATTAGAGCAGCTGCTTCACAGACACAGTAGCTTCCATTAACCAGAGAATTGTGCAATTTAAAAAAAAAAACCATGAGCTTCAAAGAATATTTTGTATCATTTATTATTGTGGAGGACTTTTGGTTCACTCTTCTTTGGAGTTGTCCTTGACCTAATTAGAAGTTAAGAAACATGTAACTAAGTAATGAAAGACAAATGCGGCATGCAGCTGAAAGTTACTGAAGAGACGCATCATTTACGGGACGGGATGCACAAATATGGAAATTTGAATGGATGAATAATATTGCTGTTATAGCCGATATTTATTGAAGTTTTACACATTTCTTCAACATTGTAAAATGTTAATCATCCCTCTTCTGTGGCTGTAGTTTGATTTTTTTCATGTCATTTTGGCCTTAGATAAACCTTTAGGTAATGTTGCTTTTCTCACAGAGACAAACTGAGGTGAACACAGTGAGGATAAAGGAGCTCCTGGTCTGTTCAGAACTTGTTCTGGCCTTTCCTCGTGCTGATGTCTCGTATTGTGAACCCACTGCTAGGAACCAGTGGGCTCCTGGCTTTGCATGGTCTGCAGCCGTCGTCATTTATTTATTTTTTCCCGCTTGTGAATAATCTTTCTCAAGGCAGAACGATGAACTCTAAACAGTTTGAAAATGGACTCTGATCAACAAACACCCTTATAGAGGTGCTCCCATGTTTATGTAGCCATGTGTTTGATCAGATCAGTGTTTTCTGCTCATTAGTCTGTATTTTGGCTTTTATTTATTAAAAAAAAAACATGATTGCTGTAATTTACCTCATCTTTAAGTCCTGGTAAACTGTAGATGTGTTTCATGCTCATTTAGTGACACCTAAGCTGGTAAAATGTTTTTGTTTTTTTTTTCTACAGTAACTTTCAGATTTTCCTCACCCACAAAAACAAAATAAAAGTAGAAACGGTCTTCCCTAAGAACATGCTCTGTCATATAGGACACACTGAGGTCTGTGGGATTTGTTTTCTGCTCTCTGCCACTTTTCTTGGCTTTGGAAATAAACACTGAATATGTCTACTCAGATTCAGATTATAAGATGTCGGTGTTGACAGACGGTAAGTAACCTGATGCCTGGTTGGTTTTTTTAAGTAAATGCATTTATTAGAAATTTTTTGAGTAGCATTATTAACTTTTGTCTGTTTAGACCCTTAAAGCAGAATGTTTCTGTATTTCCTCTTTCTCATTGCTCAGCAGGGTGTGTATAAATAGGCTCTGTGATACGGATACAAACACCCTTTAATTAGAGTTAGACTCTGCTGTTATCTCTGAACTCTGGTTTGGATCCAGAAGCGTCTCTGTGCTTCACTTTCATGACTGAAACCGTCTCTGGGATGGATGATGTTTGCTAAAAAACATTCTCAGGATTTCCTTCCTCAGTGTAATCAGATGGATGTTGGTTGTGTGTCCCAGAGTCACACCAACAGGCCGGGGGTCACACAGGGTTCACCCTAAGGCTGTGTAATAATATCGATTTTGCGATATATATCTATATTTTCTTTCCTAGGAAAAAAATCGATATTCATCCGCAAGTATCATAACATCCAACTGTCACCTTGCTCACTCACTGCTTGCTTCGCCGGGAGAGTGATTAGGTCATCAGGCTTAGAGTGATTCCTTCAGATGTTAAGTGTCAAGGTTAAAAAGGTATCAAACTATTCAGAGCAGGGTGCTTGTAATCCATGTAAGCTACAGTTTGTACTGTTTCAATTAAAAGAAACATGTTTTCTCACCACTTCTTTGATTCTTTTTGTCCAGCTGTCGACTTTAAGTCCATGTCCAACCAGAGCCACGTATTGTGTAGTTGGTGCTTTTAGTCAGTTTTCAGTTAAATTAATTCAATCCAACTCTATAACGGTCACAAAATGTCACCAAAATCACTCTGGCCCTCTGAAATCTTTCAGAAAATTGCAAAGTGTATTGACTTGTATCGTTTCCTGAATATCACAATATATATCGTATCGTGAGCAGAATATTGTGTATCGTATTGTGAGATTACTGTATCACTACAGCCCTAGTTCACCCCACCCTCCACCCTTTTTTGCTTTTGGGGAAAGAAAGAGGAGCGCTGTGTGGCTTTTTGCACTCTGACTGTTTGTCTTGTTGGCAGGTCTCCTTCGATGTGAGTGTGGAAGCTCGGAGCTGCCCGCCCCGCGGCACCGACCAGACCTTCACCATAAAGCCGGTGGGGTTTAAGGACCGCCTGGAGGTAGCTGTGAACTATCAGTGCGACTGCAGCTGCAGCCGGACGGCGCAGGTCAACAGCAGCCTCTGCAACTCTATCGGTACGGTCATCAAACACACATTACACCCTGGTCAGATCCAGTGACACTGAACATAAAACGTTTCTGTTAGACAGGGGGGGCAAGTGAAGGAATGAGAGATATGCTACTTAAAGGGGCAGTGTTATCTAACATTGACTTTTTTGAGCTTTTCATCATGTTATAATTTCATTCTCTCATCAAAACACACCTTGTGTTGCCTTCAGTACCTTTTTATGCATGTGTGGGAAATCCTTCAATCTCCCATGGCAACTACTCAGCTGTGTGAAACACCTGGGTGGACCAAGCTCCACATCAGCTCCACCTCAAACTGGAGGTTTGATGCTTCCTCCTCAGAGAGCAGCCGTCCCCCACGGCTCCCCCACTCAGTAATGTAGTTGTTTTTCTTTCACATGTAAAACCCTTTTGAAGTTTTCTACGATTTTCACATTGTATTCCTACAAAACAATCTGTCTATTTTGTAAACATTTCATGCTTAGTTTAATGTTCTCAAAGTTTTTTTTGTGATTTTAGTGTTTTTTTCTGTTTTGGCCTGCGAGTGCTCTTAAGTTGATCATTTTACGAAACGTTTGGAGACTCCTGGGTTAGTATAATCTGTTGGGTGATTACAAAAAACCCCCAAATATGCTCAATTAAAAATAAATCAATTTTTACATGAAACCCCGATTACATAAACCAAGGCTTACTGCCGTTTCCCTTTTCTATAATTGGAACGGTGGGCTGGGATATTCACAGGAAACTGCTGGAAATGTTCTCATCCCTGCAACATGAAACAGAAAACTCAGAGGGCCTGAAATTGTGATGAGTCACTAAAACGAGCGGTTCCTCTGAACACAACGCAATCAAGATAACTGAGCCAGAACAGACTGAGCATCAGGACGATGAAGGTCACACAGCAGGTTGGAGCTCAGATCAGTCAGGCTGGATGAAATTGTGATGGCGGATAATTAGCAAAGATTTCTCAAAATTATATTAAAGGGGAACAATGTAAAGCTGCATTAAATATTTACATTAAAAGCCATAAAAGCTAATTGTGTTTATGAAAAAAAAAATGTCTTTAAGCTAGAAAATATAACACTTTTATTATTCTAACAGTTGAGCCCAAAATAATTTTCCTTTGATTCTGTTATGCAGAATCCATAATGGAGATCGGTTTAAGTTCACTTTTAGAGCTTTAAGGTCAACACTTTCCCCTAAATCTAACATTTTCTTGTCATGAGCGGACACAGCAGCTCTTCTTTTGTCTTTGACAGTTTGGATTTTTCTTTTCTTTCCATGTGTCACTTTGTTTCCACTTCAGAACATTTTCTCCTCTAAATCTGTATCTGTAACATCTTAACGCTCCAACTTGACTAATACATGAATATGAACCTTCATTCAGCTAACAGTCTGTGGCAGACCATGGAAATGGACCCTCTCAGATACTTTCCATCTGATCTGACTCAGTTTCTTGCGTTTTGCAATGAAAACTGGGCAAAAAGTTCAGTTTGTAGATGTTTGCAGCAGGTAGAGACATAAACCACACGACACGCAGCTCTAACAGACTGAGTCAGTTCTTATTAGTGCTACAATTCAAACTTTATTTGGAAAAACGTATGAAAATAAGCATAACAATTGGGCACTTTCTTAAATAAAATCCCAATAAAATGCAATTTAAGTTTGAGGTTATAATGTGATAAGCTGTCACCTACCCAGCTGCTGCTGCGATGAGCTGATCAGTGTTCTCCACTTCATCCAGTTGTAGACAGGGATGTGAAGTAACCTTGTCTTTTTAATAAGAAAAACACTCAAAGCTGCTTCAGTTAATGGCCGCTTTGACGTGATTATGAAGAGATTCTCAGCTGAAATTCTGAGCTTTTCTTAAACTATTTTTAAACAGCTTTTTCTTCTTACACTTTACAACTTGGAGGAAAACCCAGTGACTGAGCGGGACTGATGGGTAACAAGGTCTGAGACTAATCAGGAATGTTCTGGTCTGAGGCAGAAACCTTGAAGATTAGGATGCCTCTCAGATAGAAGATAATGTCTAAGAAATAGTCCAGTTATCTGCAAAAAAAACCCTACAAAGATAAAGGTTTTTGCATTTAAGAAGTACTGCACTGAGTGCTGTGATGGAGTGGACCCTGACCAAAGCCTCCACCCTGCAGGCATGTACAACTGTGGGACCTGCCGGTGCGAGCCGGGCTACCTGGGCGCCCACTGCGAGTGCCAGGAGGGCGAGGCCAGCAGCATGTACCTCAGCGCCTGCCGGGAAGCCGAGGGCAAGCAGGTCTGCAGCGGCCGCGGAGAGTGCAGCTGCAACCAGTGCCTCTGCTACGAGTCCGAGTTCGGGAAGATCTACGGAAGCTTCTGCGAGTGCGACGACTTCTCCTGCGCCAGACACAAAGGCGTCCTCTGCTCAGGTAGGAACGGCTTTTTTCCTTTTACCTTTCAGATCTGAGGCAGCAGAGCAGGTCTTCATGCTAACATCCCAGTTTATTTCAGGTCTCATAGCGGGGGCATGCTGAAGTAGCTCCGCTGTGTTGGTCCTGATTTGTTCTCCTTGTAGACTTTTGTTCATAATTTGCTTGGCCGAGTCGCTGCATGTTTGGACAGTTTGGTGTGCAATTGGATGGATTTTTGTTACGATGTGAAACCGTGGCAACAGTTACTCATTGTTAATGAACTGTGGAGCTCATTAGTGTTTCCAAAGTTCAAACAAGACCTGAACTGTGACCTGAAGTCCCAGAGGGGTTGTAAAACGAGGCTTCATGGATACAGAGCAGAGAGAGGAGGAAGTTCAAAGCATTTCCTCAACCAATCAGATCCCGTCTCCAGGTTCTCTGCCTGGCTTCCCAACCATACAGCAGGGGGTTTATGGAGGAGCACCAGAAGCAAATGAGCTGGATTAGCAGTTCATGCTAACAGCTGGTGGCGTCCCCAGGACATGTTACTGTGGGATATTGTCTGTACTGCCTTGTCACTCATCTGTTGGCATGTCGCTACAGTCATACAGCAACCGTCTTCAGATCTCTGCAGAACCTTCCGACCCACAGCATCACAATGTGATGATGTGTAACCGTGCAACACATCATAACAACCACTTTTTGAAGTTTCTTTGAGGATGTGACTTGTGACATTTAATTTCCATTTGGGATAAATTAAGTGTTTTTTAGTTTAACTGAATTGAGGGTTTGGGTTCGTGGAGAAGTGTTGGTGAACTGAGCTGTGGCTCCTCAGCTTCCTGATATACATCTAGCCCTTCCTCACTACTGTTTGTTTTTGAAACTTCTTCTGTCTGGTAGACATTCTGTGTGTGTGGGTGTGTGTGTGTGTGTGTGTGTGTGTGTGTGTGTGTGTGTGTGTCTGTGCACGTGCATGTGTGTTATTAGGCCAGCCTCCTCTTGATTCCACAGCTTCTCGGTGTGAACTGAGGCTGTTACATTCAGGACTGCTTGCTTTGCAGCTGTAAAAACTCTGATGTTCAGTGGTTCACTGTTTTCCCCAAAGGACTTTTAGTAATTGTTAAATAGTTTTCAGCTGATATTTACTGAACCTTGTAAAACTCTTCAAGCTCCCTTTCCTGCATTTTGTCTCATTACAGCCAAACAGAGATCTATCAACACTCAGTGGCTCAAATATCAATTGGAAGGCAAATTTAAAACCGATTGGCGGTTTAGTAGTAAAAAATCTAAAACGTTCGTCCATTGCCACAAATTCTTAATTTGGTTTAGGCCTAGGCTTTGACTAGGCCATTCTAATAAAATGAGAATGCCCCAGTCATGGGCCTTTTGATTATCCTTTGATGTGGATCATTCCATTGTAATGTTTGTTCACTAATGTTTTCTAACAAACCTCTGAGGCCAGAAAGGGACTGGCTGAGAACGCCTATAGCCAGAAAATGCATGCGCTGATGCTAACCTGAAGATCTCGTCCTCTGATTGGCTGTCGTTGCTCATGCCCACAGAGCAGCACAAGTTGTGTGAAAAGGGCTGTTTGGCTCAGAGGATCTGTATGGGGACAGGCAAAGCCTTTTGTGCTCCCAGAACATCGGGTCCAAAACCGCGGTGAGAGACCTCCTGGCTCGTCTCCCCGCCAACGGCGGCTCCTGTCAAAGCACAGAGGGGCCTTTGTGGCAGCGGGGCCGGCGCTGGCTGGATCCCAACGCCCAGTGAAGGCCTGTATCTGTCAGGCTGACCTAAGGGGACAGAGACAGTATCTGGGTTTTCATTACAAACGTGTGCAAAGCTTTGACGATGCTCTGCTAATGACGAAAAAACACAACATTGCAAGTGCAGTGTTTGCATTAAATAAAAAGCAATTAAAATAGCATGTCAATAAGCTTGTTCACACAATAATGCACTAAAAAGCATACCACGCCATCATCCCCCAAATACTTCCTGTCACTTTCTTCTTTGTCTTTTCCACCAGTGGTAACATCCAGTTGCTGATCATATGATGTGAAAAGTGTTTCCTTGCAGTTTTGTGAAATACTCATTTTGAGAAACCATCTCATCCTTTTGCCAAAACATATCACAAAAACGTGTTTTTTTTATTATTATTGGCATGTTTCCCTTACGCAAATTTATTTTCCTAATTCTGAATTGCACAATTTGATGGTTAGTAGAAACACACTACAGATGCAGACGGACTGTTTCTTCCAATCAGCCATTAAACATTTACAGTCCTGTACCTTCTCTGTCCTCACTCTGTGCAGCTCAGTGACTCCCTCTACACCCGCTGCGTCATCTTGTTCATTTTAGCGGAACTTCCTTACCGCACTGTAAAACTAATTCAGTAAAACTATTAAAGTGTGAGTAAAGCCCTTCACCTTGCAGGAATCTCTCATAAACTGGATTGGATCCACCTGGATGGGATCTGCTGCTCAGTCGGAGTCTGTGTGGGAACATTTGCTGCCTGGTGAAGAACCTGAAGCTCCTGGAGCTGATATTGGCAAACACCTTCTCCTCTGTAGAACCCTGACTCAGAGGTCAGAGGTCAAGTTTTAGAATATCATTAGAGATGAACCGATCAGAACACTGTGGCTGATTTTTGGTCTCTGTGTTTTTCAAGCTTTGACTTTAACTTTGGTTTAGTTATGAATAACTATTAAGTGGCAAAGGTAATAATTTAACGGGGTTTGGAGGTATTATGAGAAATCAACTTTTTTCAGCTTTCCATCATGTTATAATATTATTCCCTCATCAAAAACATACCTGGAATGCTGCTTTGATTCTTCTATGCATGTTTGAGGAATCCTTGAGCTTCTTAAAGAGACAGAGGCCCAATTTCCAGGTGCTAAATTACAGAGTCAATTTTCAGTCTGTTATTCCTCAAAAAAACATGTCTGACAAAGCTCAGGTATTAAGTTCAGTAGATGGATTTGATTTCAGCACTGACACTCACACAGCATGACTGCACATTTATACAGAATAATGACAACTCCTCTCCAGCATATGAGTTTATTAACAAAAATAAATCTTTATCTGTAGTTTTTTTTCATGATGATATTTTTCAGTAGAACTTGGGTTGTGGAAATGACTTTCCTGGATTCGATGATGACCTGGACTCTTTTAGCCATCAATTGGAAGCTGGAAAAAATAAATAGAAGGTTTTTTTTTTTGAGTGTAATAAGCCTTTTGAGCTGAAAAAGAAAAGACTTTGAACACTTTACACAATCTCCTAAACCAAAGTCATTTTTGTCACCACAAAGTTTACTAAACAAGTTGGTGTCACTGCCAGAACTTTCAGCCATAAAAGTAGAGGGACTCTGACTCTGACATCCCATGACAGCCAAAACCACTGGAGCCCACAGAGCTGCACCGGGGCTCCACGACTTCTTCTGTTCTTTGGAATCATGTGGTAGCATAAAAGCTAAGCTGCTCACCTCAAGAGGATTGAAGTCTTTGTTTTCAGATGATCCACTGTGACATCTGAACTTTATGACTGAGCAGACGGGAATCTGTTGGCGTTTTTATCAGTCCCTGATAACGAACAAACAGGAAGTTGTTGACTGGTTAGTGTGTTAGCTGGCCTAAATGATGCCCTGCATCGTTCATGGATGACTCACCTTCTGTCACATCAGATTAGAGTCGACTCGACCACCTCGCCTTAATCCTAAACACCCTTCAGAACCATGTTCCGGGGTTTGGTGTTCCTGAAGTGTTAGTCACCGTCTTTATTTAGTTACCAGTGAAACAAATATGGACAAATGGCAACCACAGCTTACCCCCAAACACGCATGTCGAGAGAAGTTCGCTTACCCGACGTGGAGGATTCGTGACCCGCTTTTATTTACAGTATTGCTTCATTTCGTGTTTGACCCAGTTTGGGTCAAGTTTCAGACGTCACCCAGATGGTCTCCCATTTGATTCCAGAGCATTTTAGTGTACAGTGGATCTCATGTTGACTTGATGGCCTGCAGGATTTGGTATAGGGAGATTACAGAAACTATTCTACTTTGATCACATCTGTCTGTAGACCATCGTTCCAGAGGTCTTGTGGTTCACCCAGATGAAACTTTGCCAACCTAGTTTGTGTTGTTGTATTGTGTTTAGAGAAAAGAGACTTCTACCTGGCAAGTCATCTGAATAAGCCAAACTTTTTGAGTCGTTTTTCCTTTAGTCATATCATGGGCATTTAATATTGACCATGCTAAGGCACACAGAGTCCAGGATGGAGCTCCTGTCTCTGTTCTGGAGTTAATGTCCTTGTCTGCTCACTCTGCTTTGGGTCTATCTTTGTATAATAAATGACAGTGTGGAATGACAGTGTGTTGGTGCTCTGGCTTTATGGAAAGTGCTTGTTTTCATTTACAGCAGAAAGTTAATATTTCTCTTAAAGCGCTAAGATCTAAACTTTGATTCTTTCTGCAGGGGAAGAAATCATTCCAGATGATTCCATTGGTTTCTCTACGTATCAGTTATCCTTATAGGAGGAAAAAAAATCATACTGCACGGCGAATATGATTTGTAGTGACACTATAAAGGGAGATTGAGACGCATTTCGAACTACAGGCAGATGTTCTGTAAAGTGATGTTTTCAGGATTAATGCTTGTCGCTGAGCGTTTGCTACCTTTTACCCTCTGTTACAGAACCTGTGTGCGTGCGTGCGTGCGTGTGTGTGTGTGTGTGTGTGCGCGCATGCGTGTCAGCCAAGCAGAAATGTGTGGTACAGCAGTCGGCTACATTCCCTTCTTGTGCCACGCAAGCAACTTTCTCTACTTGAACGACTTCCAGTCCTGTTTATTGTGTTTACTCTGAATGAAAAACATCTTTAACTCTGACACAAAACAGGAAGAGGCTCCACCTACTGGAAACATTAGGTATTACAGTAAACCTGCAATCTTATGTGTTTAAGAAAAAAAAAATCTGATTTCCCCGATCCTGTAAAACCAATTAATGAATCATCAGTTCTCATTAA